AAATAATAATTTTGAAGTTCATTTTTTTCTCCCCTATTAAAAACCTATATTGAAGGTCAAGTAAATGCATACTCTTGAGTACCCTTCTGTGTTCAATAAGACTATAGACTGTGCAGAGGATAGTCTGCAACTGAACCTTGAGGGAACTTAATGTCCTGTGTAATTAACTTGACTAAACTCTGAGAGAAGAGGGATAGAAACCAGGCTGTTATGGGCTGAGGGATGATGACAATATTTGGCTTAAAGGGCTTGAAAGAAAAAAGGTGAGATTAAAGAGGAATGGTCTTAAAATTTTAAGATAAAAGAGATTAACATAGGTTTCTGTTTGTTGATCTTCTCACTTTGTTCGCATTTGTTTTCCTGATCTCGCTTGTTTATCTCTATACTCTTGTAGCTTACTGAGCTTTTAAAAGATTGTTACTTTTTAATTCTTTGTCAAGAAATTCATAGATCTCCAAACTTTATTTTGTTCCTTTGGTAGTATCATGTTTCTCTGATTGTTTATGATTCTTGTGGCCTGGCATGGATGTCTGCACATTTGAAAAAGTAAGTTCCTCTTCAGATTAGCTTCAGCAGGAAAAGTTCTTCACCATTTGGCCCATCCGGAGATTTGGGGTGGGCCTGCCACTAGAGTTCTTTGGCAGGCTGGCCTGATGCCTTGGCACCACAGGTGCGAGCCTTGCACCAGGGCTCACTGGGGTGGGCCTGGAACCTGAGTCCACAGTAGCAGACCTAGAGCTTGGATCCATGGGGTCCGTGGTAAAGTCAGATACTCACATTACTCTCCTTACCACACATGGATGGTGTCTCTCTCTGCACTGTGTTGCTGGGCGTTGAAGGACAGGTAATGTGGATAATGTGAAATTGTCTTTCCCACTCTCTTCAAAGTGTCTTTTTATATTTCTGTACTTTGGTCACTCACCTGGATTCTTTTGTTCTTAGGAAGTATTTTCACACATAGTAGTACAAACTGGTATTTCTGCTGGGAGATGGGCATGGGACACTCCTATTCTGTCATCTTACTGATGTCACTCCCCTAATTTTTGTGATGAATATATTGTTTTGAGATTTTGGCATCAGTCTTCATAAATGAGGAATTATTGGTTCTTTTATTTATTTAGAAAATGTTGTATTTGCCAGATTTTAACATTGTTAAATAGTTTTACTAAAGAGTTAGGAACATCCCCACTTTCATCTGCATCATAGAAAAATTTAAATAGCACGGGAATTACTCGTAACAAAATTAGCAAGAATTCATCCATGAACTCTCTAGGTCTGACACTTGATTTGAAGATTAGTTCTTTTCTGAAATTATCACGTTTGTTAGTGAAACAGAGTTTTCTGTCTTTTCTTGAATCAATATGGTCAGTTTAAAATTTTTCTACTCTGTAATTTCTTTCAATCAGATTTTCAAATTTATTAACTTAAGGTTATAATTTTTAAATTGTTACTTTTCCACACTTGTATGTGTTTCTTTCACTCTATTCCCTTCCTGATGAGATTAACTGAGAGATATATTTTAATTATTTGCTTAAAATAACCAACTCTTGGTATTATTTATCAGTTTTATTGTTTTCTCCATAACCATTAATTTTTGCTTTTTTCTTATCTTTCCCCTTAAGCTTAGCTGCAGTGTTTTTATCCCTTTTTGTACTTATTGATTTAATTCATTTTTAATATTTTTCTTACTTGATTAAAAAAATAAAATTATAAATTCTCTCCTGAACATAATTTTGACCGCACTCAAAATACTTTGATATTAACATATTCATTATCAACATTTTCTAGTCTGTATTGGTACTTTTAATTTCTTTACTAAGTCAAAAATTATTTATGAGAGTTAGAAATTGTTGTCATGTGAGCAATAAATTTAATTTTATTTATTTCAATTGTAAGAATATTTTGAGATTTTTATTTTAGTCCTAATATATATTAAATTGTTACAATATCCCGTGACTTGTTAAGAAGGCATATTCCCTATAAAGTTTAGCACTTGTTCATTTGATGAGGATAGAATATGGAGGGAGGATAGCTGATTTGAAATATGATGGTTAAGAAAGCGTTCTTGGATAAATTGGTAAGAAATGAGAGAACA